TGGTAAACATCTCTCGCTTCTCTGCAGAACAAAATAAATATGTAGCAAACAACCATAACTCGCTAGGTGGCTCACAACCAGGCAATTGTGCAACAACCACTAACACTTCCAGAATACTACTACCTATATGTAGTGACCTCATCAATGAGTTTGCAGAACTCCTGGTTTCATAAGCTTCAACAAGACGGTTAATTTGACCACAAAGTTTTGCAGCACCTCCAATTTTTTTCCTTTTCTTATCAACTTTCTTCTTTAGCAATTCTCTTTGGTTAGCCGCTCTTTTTTTTCCCTTCCTACTTGCTTGCCTTAGATCCTGCATAGTCTCAGTTTCTTCCTCATCATATGAATCAATTTGTCCTACAGATTTCTCTCTTGACTCTAGTGGTAATACTCTAGATGAAGGTGCCTATGCATGTTTACCGGTAGCAACTATACTCGAGAACATCCTATCTAACTTGTCCTCCATCTCAGGACTAATGCCTTTTTTTTTTGCAATTTTCCATATTCTTTGTTTATCTACAAGTAAGAAAGAATATGGTTAATACATATTGCATGATATCAGAATACATATTAAAAGATAAATACACAAACCTGAATTTTATTATTCCACCACTCATCAGAGGCATCAACAGTACCCTTGCTCGAATTCCACCCTAGTAGTTTCTTTACCAACTAGCTCTTTCCACAACTTCCACTCATTTTTAAGTGAATCCCACTTATTTTTCAGTTGCTTTCTTTCATAATCATGCCCTGTCTCTACCTTGAAGTTAGCTCTAATATTTGCATATCCATCTTTGTCAAAGTGATTGCCCGGACGATGTCCGGCCTCAACCTCCTTGATCACAAAATATAGATATATTGTGGGCATTCCATGTAGCTACAGGATTTGACGAAGATGCCCCCTTCTTTGCCATCGATACCAACTACTGATTTGTGTATATATATATATATATATATATATATATATATATATATATATATATATATTAAAACAAGAACAAATGCTATTATAATATAACCAAGAAATAACCAATAAACGATCCACATACAACTACAAAAGATTACAGCACAATTTGGGTTCAAAAAGTTTGGCCTAGCCAGTCTCAAGACGGAATTCTACTGTCCACAATAGATCAGTTTCCAACCAAAGGTCATTATTAGTTTAAAACATGTAGACCTATATAGCATAAAGAGCAAGATTTTGCAGCATAATTCGTGAGAAATAACAGGTCTGTGTGAGAATGGGCAAAGACATTTTCTCCCTACTCAAAAGAAACTGGATCAAGCTAAAGGAAAGACAACACACTTTCTCCTACTAAACAAACAAAGAGATACAACAACAACAACAACAAAGCATTTTCCCACTAAGTGGGGTCGGCTAAATGCTATGGTACATGATGAAATCGAAATATACTAGTTAATGCTATTGAGAAATTACTTCATTATAATGATAAGTTACAACTACTATTTATATTTATAATTTAAAGAAGTCAAAATACAACTAAGGAAAGGTTCCATAGTATGAGAACGGTTCCATGTTCGAAAATGCATAGTTATTCTATAATCATAGCAAAACCCTGCAAGCAAATGGTACACCACATATGGTTCTGTTTAGGCATACATTCATTGCATTGCATTGCATTGTTTGAAAAGAAACCGAATGAAAACCACAAACGAAAACACAACCATGACTCAAAGATTTAAATAAAAATTAATCCCTAAATTCTATTTGTATGTGACATGCTAATTTAAGATAAAACCGCTATCTAAGCTTATGTTTACTTCTAAAGTACATATTAGTTTTCCTTGCATCTGCTGCCGAAGACATTTTGATAGCTAAACAGTACACAACTCATTAACATGACTTTACACTGGAAACTACGGTGTGCATCCATTTTCCAGGTACATTTATGTTTGTACCACAACTATATACTTCTACATTGGTGTATCTGTAGTAGCTACAACAGTGACATATACTTACTGGGTGCTAGGGTTGAGGAAAAAGATGCAATCTAAGCTTGGCCATCACCATTAAAGATAGAGCTCGACTGTGGGAGCAATGCTAGTTTTGTTCGCGGTAAACCAACAACACACACAGACCATAATAGACACATTTGGCAAAAGTGTAATCCTCACTATAATGGTGATCTGTTAGACAACTACCAAACCAAGTTTGCAGGAGAATTCAGAAACTCTCCATAACCAAGTTTCATGTAATGGTGGAATGAAGAATTCAGAAGAAAAAAAAAAGAAGACACATAGCATAAATGAAGAATTCAGAAAAAAAAAAAATATATATATATATAACACGATAGCAGAGAGAGAGATAAGATACAAGCACTGACCTGGAGGTTGGAGTTTCAAAAAAGACTGCGAGAGCTTGAAGAAGACGATGAAACTGCGTCGTAGAAGGGTGAGCTGAATCGCAAGAGACGCATGACAAATCAGAAGCACAGTTCACAGATCAGAAGCAGAGCAAAGCTTTATAAGAAATTATCCCTTACCTAAACCCAAATCAGATGCAGACCTTCTAAAAAAATGAATAGAGAAGTAATCAAGCTTCTCTCTTAATTTTTCTTGTTTCCTCCACAAACCCTAATTTTTTTCCCCAATTAATTTTTCCCCACCCTTCATCCCCAGTTGTTCTTCCCGACACCCATACCCTCATCCCTTTGCTCTTCCCACCCCTTTTTCCCTTCAATCTCCCATCCCCAAATTGAAAAATCCAAACAAATAAATAACAAATTTTTACAAGAGAAGCTTACCAAAGGAACCTGGAGAAACCTGGAGAACGAGAGAACAAGAGAACGAGAGAGATCGCTGGTTTTTGGAATGAGAGAACGAGAGCGCTGAAGGCGAGAGGGAAAGGAGGGCAATTTTAGGTTATTGAAAAATTCATTAAACACACCATTGTTCACCCGTGTTTTCTAAAATAAGCTGTTTTTGGAAGCTGCTATTTGCAACTTCAGGTCAGCTTCAGGTTTTGGGCTTCTTTTCACCCCAAACTTTGAAATAAAGCTGCTTTTGAAAGTTTACCAAACACCAAAAACCCTTCCAGCTTTTTTTCATACCAGTTTTTTTTTAATCACCTCAATCCCAAACTGCACCTTAGTCTGGTTGTTGAAGTAGAGGCGATACGGGATGCTATGGTGGTTTGTGTGGAGGAGGGATATAAGAACGTGATCATTGAGATCAAGCATTCATGTGCTTAGTAAAGAGGTAGTAGCATTTGGGGTGACAATAATGAAATTTTCCGGGTAAGTCGGCACAGCTCTTGCTTACTGTCTATATGTAATAGGGTCTGGTCAACTGCCCGGCCACCTCTTTAGCACATCTCTTGTCAACACTAGCACTTTTTAATAAATAATGTCATTCCCGACTCGCGAAGTGAAGCTCAATTTCTATTCATTAGTTTAGCGCTACAACTATATCTTTTCTTTTTCTTTCTCTCCTCTATAGAAAAGAGAGGATGATACGTGGCGTGGTATACTTGATCATTTTGTCAACAAGACGTACACAAGTTGACATAGCTCCATATATATGTTCTTTTGAGCTTGAATTCATAAATAGAATGAAATAATGGTGAGCCTAGTGGAGCGACGAACTCGGCTCAAGGGTTTCTATACAAAGTTGTTCTCTTCTTCACTCAAGGGGGCAATGCACTCTTTGTATGGTACTTTATTCATTAAGAATGAATCTTTTTTTTTTTAGAAGTTATACGGACTTTATAAAAGTAAATGCCACGTTCCGTGTGTCAGATATGGGGCGTTCTAATTGAAGGGTCATACTTCTCGTCTTGGTCCTATTAGGGTAAGGCCAATGCACCATCCAGCCGGTGTGGTGGCGAACACGAAGTGCTGTAAGCTAAGCTATTCACCTTATAGACGGAGGAGATATAGAAAGTGTGCCGTGGGTGATTCATAAGATTATATAGTAACACCAGTATATTATTTTATTTCACTTAGCTTGCCTCTCCCATGATTTTGTGGACCAACCAACCTCTCGCGAGTCTCTCTGCATTTTGGGAGCAGAGCATGCAGTATGCAGCGGCGGCCAGCGGGGGAAGGGGGTGAAGAAAGATAACTCTAGCAATATAGACCGAGCCTGCTTCCCATTCATTCTTTTATAAGGATGGTCTTCGGTTGGTCAACAAGGCACATCCCTTTCGTTTGTGTAATAGAGGCATTGTAATGGGCGTACGGAAACAAAATCCAAGATGATGGTAAGGGACGGGGAGGCCCTCGAAACCAAACGAGACCAAAAGGAACATGGGAATTAGCACCATTCCTATGATTTTGTCTCAAAAAGTCAATAAGCAGCCCTATCTCTATCTCGGTCTCGATTTAGCATCGTATATTAATCTAGAGAACATTTTTATTGATTTTAGTGCAGATTAAGGAACCCTTCCCCCATGCTTTGATTGCGGACGTAGGGGCTGCCCACTGCCGCCTCCCTTGGTTTTTGGTGGGAAGTACCCCAATTCTTTTTTTACGAGCCTGCCGAATCCTGAAAAAGGGTTCTTGGGGAAGCGTGGTAGGGGAAGGTAGGGTATATCGCCGCCTGATAGAGGCAAACTCATCTACCTTGATATGTATGCTTCGTGGAGAGATAGAGAGACGTTGATGTGTCAATTGAATGCAATATTTTGTACATTCTACAATTAGCTACACAAATGGAGTCCGTTGAGTTTTCTTATGTCCTCGTCGATGCAACGAGCGCTGCATTTAATGGCTTCTTTTGTAAGTCAAAATATAAGTAGTCATAGATGAGGTTTGCTTTTCCCTGAATTTTTATTTAATATTATGGTGGATGATGTAAACATTTCATTACAAATTTAATAAAAAGCTCTGTCATTTGACAAAAAAAACCTCAATTATTACTATCTATTAGAAAATTGACCCAGACCTTTTTTTTCTCCTATGGAGCCATGAGAAAGTCACTGGCGTCAGGTTAGTACGGTTCTCATGCTGCTGATTTGGCCCCGCACTGATTTAGGAGCTTCTTCTTTAGTATAGAATTCAAAATAACAACAAAAAATAAAGAAGCGGTTGGGTGAGAACAAGAAGCGGTCGTCGTCCAGCGGCCGAAAACTCCGAATATAGGCCTAGATCGTTTGTACACCGGCCGAGGAATCCCTTGTTCGGCATTTCTCTGAAGTTTTAGTGAATATGTGGACACAATGATAGTAATAAATAGATAAAGGAAATAGAGGCTCACCAAGAAAAAAATATTCCAAACTATGAAACATAAAAATTATAAAAGAGAAAAACGAAAGAAAGAAAATTGAATGAATATACATCCCCAATTGCAGTGCAAAATTCCTCTCCCGGCATGGGCCTAGCAACACAAAGACAGTCTGATGTAGGACCCTTCTGTTAAGAAATTCCGACGGTCTTTCCCAATAACCAGAGAACCAATGATAACTCCAGCATAAATATGGTATGAAGTGTAGTCCGGTCCAGTGTAAACCCAAAAATTGTGATTCCCGCTCTATTATTCTCAAAATATGTAACTGCACAAGAAATATACACGAATACAAATGTCAACACCACGATTGATACATGTTTCAGTAATGTCACACGGATAAACGAGTTGTGTGTTTGTTCTATGTCACACATGTAAAAGTTATGTTGTGTTCTAGTTGAGAGATTCGACGTATGATTGTATCGTGTTTATGTTGATCCTAGTCACGTTTGAGTGTACCATCAATATGACACAATCATGAAGTTTTTAAATGTGTGTAAACCGATTTGATGCATTGAAGTAACTGGCTTACCGAGAGCTTGTCTTTTTTGGAAAGAGATGGTACTATATGCATATGACGGGATCAGCTTGGTGTTGTCCAATTCATCTTCATCGGCATCACCCTCCTCACTGTCTGATTCTCCACGTTCAGTACCAACGGCCTCAGCCAGCACTCGGCCGCTGGTAATCTCAGCTGCCGCTGCATCGAACGAGTCTAGTGTGGCGCAGACGTGCCACTTGGCTGCGAGACATGTGACGGCCTGCGCCTTGTGAGTGATTTTGGTTGCGCTGCGTAGTAGGATCAAGAGGCTGGTAACCAATGTTATGGAGCATAACTGTACCAAAACCAAATCAGAATATAAGCTTGATTTCAGTTTAAGGAAAGTTGTATAACAAATATTCCTGAAGGGAGTGTGAGGACAAGACACTTCAACTATATAACAAATATTTCTCTAGTTTTGGGGTCGATTAAGGGAGTATGAGGATGAGACACATCAACTCTATAACAGACACAAAACTCGCTCATATTCTATAAAAGGTGAACAACACCTATATTAAATAATAAATGAACAAACTTGTACCAACTAGCTATTGGTCTAGCAATACTTTCTTTTTCCAATGTTGGAAGATTTCAAGTTCAAATTTCTCGACTCGTAGATAAAAGACAAAATAGTTATATTAGTAAAACATATATCAATCAGAAAACATTAAAAGCGATATATAACATACCACAAGTTCACCAGCTCTGTAAACATCGAGATTTTCCTTGGCGCTTGACTTGGTAGTGATGAGCAACAAAGCAAACTGGCTCCCTGTGACCAAAATGAGAGACCATAATATGAACGCACGGCACCTGTGGCTTATGATCCTCAGATGCCTTCTGATCCTAAGGTGCTCAGACAACACTGATCCAACATCAGAGTCCACTTCAAACATTGTTGCAAAGTCTTGTAGCCGTAGGATTTGGAGGTAGCAGATCAGACGGAACAGAACGCAGACGAGGAAAATCATGGTGGTCCGGTAGAGCCACGAGCACAACTCCATGACGCAGACTACCGCGGCACTCGCGTATACACTACCCAGAAAAGGAATTTGTGTGGCTTCAGATGCGTACCACCATATCTTGTACACACTTTCAATGGCAAAGATTGGAATGACAAAGAAGCATAAAAGTTGCAATGATCTCTACAAGAAAATTACCACACCCTATATAAGTCCAAGAAATTAAATTGAGCCATTTCGTTTGATAAATTTGTTCATTGTCGAATTATGTTATAAAATGATATATAAAGAGCGTTGATAATTATTTCGTTTTCAATTTCTGTTTTCACTTTTCTTTAAAACTCAAAATTGAAAACCCGTTTGGTAACTATTTCAATTTTCAAAAGATTAAAATTGAATACCAAAAGTTAAAAAAATGAAACTACTTTCTTGAGTTTTCAAAATGGGTAGTGATAATATCTACGCACCAATTTTTACTTTTCACATACCCTTCTCAATTTCCAACCATCGGATTGCATGAATTGTAGAAGATCAGTGGCAAAAAATAGCAAGGGTATGTGGGAGGGAGTGTGTGAGTAGCACTATCCTTCAAATTTAGCTTTCAATTTTTAGTTTTTCATTTTCATTTTCTTTCTTGAAACCTGAAGATGGTTACAAAACGGGCTTTCAATTTAAAAAAAAAAATTAAAAATTAAAAAAAAAAACTAAATAGTTATCAAACATCCTTAAGTATTTCGTTTATTTAAGTGTGCTACAACTCTTAACAGCTCGCATAAGCAAGAAAAACGGCACAGTGGTTAAAAAACACAACATATAATAAAGGGTAATGTAAGGACAACCAATTATTTAAACTAAATTTACTAAATCGTATAACGTGTTTGTTGATGATTAGATTATTACTGAAATGTTTATTTCCTATTAGCGACACATCATGATTTGTAAATTTTGATCTAAAAAGTTGGTTTACCTGACATTAATCAATAATAAATTAAAACAAAAAAATAATTAATAATGTAGAAAATGAAGCTTGTAAAACTTACATTGAGCTGTGCTGTGTACCCCTTCCTTACCGTCTCGCTCTCATCATAAAGCTTATCAAAAAACAAGAACCTTCGCAATCCGAACTTCTTGACAAACCTTGAGAGGCAAACAAAGGACAAGCTCGCAACACTGCTCAATGACAATTGCACCACACTATCGTACGGCCTCTTGTGCTTGCTATCGCAGGCTGCACAACCGAACAGAAAATGGGACATGGCCGGGACAACAATCCCGAACAAGATGAACATGAACCAAGAAAGGCATGCCCTCCAAACACTGGATTGGTCCACGCACATCCATCGTAAGTATGACCTAAAGCTATGCAGTTCATCTCGTGCGTGTGAGACGCAGCGTCGGAACTTGTTCTTCGATCTGTTTAACAAGGCCTCATCGACCACGGTGTCGTCTTCCATGCGATGTCGAGTAAGTTCTTCAACGTGTTTGATTTGGTTTGAATGAATGTGTGTGAGTTTGAGAAAGGAGGGGGGCAGAAAATAACAGGGAGGGTGCGACAGAACATTTGTGTAAATAAATTTGTCATCTTTGGTTTTCAATTTGTTGGTTAATTTGTTAAGTTCGAGTTGTTTCGGGAGTTTTAAGTTATAAATAGAAACTATAAAGTGCTGCAGAGGAATGTAGAATATATATAGTACTAGTCTAGAAGGATTACGGTACAATGTAAACCCTAATAAAACCCTAATGGGGAAAAAGAATAATTGTTCCTTATTCTTTGATTTGTATAAACGAAAGGCAGCTCTGTTGTTCAATGGTCCATTCATCTAAACTACCTATTAACAAAACCGTCCTTGTAAACCAAAAGAGAGTTGAAAAGACAAGTTAGTTTTCGATCACAAAATAATTTCATGGGCAATAATGTAATTTCCTACAAACCAAGTTTTATTTTTTTATTTTAAACATCATCCACATGTAATCCTAACATATCTTGAATATTAAAAAATAAAAATTTCTCTTCCTACTCCCACGTTCTCTCTCTCATTTCCATCTTAAAAACAAAGATAAAAAATGTTCACACACACAGCGTGTTAAAATACGCTAGTATAAATTAAGGTATAATAAACTAAGGGGTTAATCACCAAAAGAACATGGACAATTTTTTGTTGAAAGGGAAACGAACATTTCATTAGGGGGAAAATTAGTGTTCGGTTAAAAAAAGAGGTTTATGATAACACGTGGAGAAATTTTTGAGTCCGGAATCCCGACCAACACAACCAGAGGCATGAAAATACACTTTGGTCCCACCCCCCTCTGTTTTGCACTACCCTATTTGATGAGCCTAGTCCAGAGCGCCGGACATGAGAGAGTCGTGTCTTGGCATCTAATTTTGAACATCTCCCCAACCATGGAGGCTGTAATTTTCCATGCTTGAAAATGACTCCAATTACAATCGGATCCAACCACTATCAAATACACATCGATGCATTCAATCCGACAATCCGTATTATGGTCAACGCATTCAATCCGACAATCCGAACAACGATAGTATGATTAGCAATGGATTTAAATTTGATCGAGGTGAAACCCAATCTGACCCAATCTAGTCCATTTACCATCCTACATCATGCAACATCATCCAAACCATTCATCACAACATAGTTATATCATACAAATACATTAAATACTTTATAAAAACCAAAAAACAAACCCGAAATTTGAACTTCAAAGGTCTCAAGAAGACACGACGACGACGATGCAAAAGAAAGAGAAAAATTCATCAAAAGTAAAGTTACATACTGCGAGGCGACTCAGTTTGTTAATTCCATAATGGCAGAAACAATGTCACCGTTTGCTGCTTTGAGTGCCTTAACTGCCCTTGATCTTGAAACCCCAGCTTGAGTCATCACCAACTCAATGTCCTTGGGTTCCACACCAGTTTCGTCTACATCTTCATCGTCTTGAGCCAAAGTTGATGGCTCAGGGTTTGCTGTCACAGCACTTACATTAGGAGCCTTGAACTGCTCCGCAGCCTGAGTTTGAAGTTGTGAGCTCAAGTCCTCAATCTTTGCTTCCCCAAAAATGACATATGTGTCGGATGCGGGGCTCTTAAAAACATCTGGCTTTGAGATGACGAAGAGAATCTGAAATAACAACCCTTACTAGATGAATTCCATAAATCAATCTCATGGAAGCTGACACAAAATGCGTGATAGCAATAAAATAATAAAAAAGCAACAAATCAACACTTACATTCTTGCTCTTCTTGACAGTCACACGGCTGACACCTGGAATTCCTTTCATTCCAAGTTTCAACATCGCTTTGCGACTCTTCTTTTCACTTCTGCTCTGCTTAGACCTACCAGTTGCATCTCCTTGTCCTGCCACAGTGGCATTTTGACAACAAATTACACCAGTGATGAGCAAAATAGAATGGCTATACAATAACGTACAACTTCCCGATTACTACCCACAATTTATATATAGCAGGAGGGGTAAGCCAAAATTATTTTATCAAGGTGGGCTTAACGGCAAAACAAAAGAATTCAGTTAAAAAGTTCTACTAAAATTGTCTCAGTATCTCATCTCTAACTTTTGACATTTTCAGCCACAAAACCAGACAATATATAGGCATATTGCTTCCCAGAAGGCACCAGAAAGAGAGACAAATGAGCTAAACTAAGAAGACAAAAGCACTGCATAATAAATTGAAGACAGAAACACCACCTTTTTCCTATGCCTTTTACGTCAGTCTAGAGATGGCATTCACTACGATATTCAACCAAACTATATGCTTGAAAGAGCGGGAGCATTTGAGGGGAAAATCATAAAACAGTTTAGCATCACATTTAAGTCTTCACAGTGCAATTTACCTTCAACATCTTCATCTTGGTCATCATCTTCATCATCATCGTCGTCATCGTCATCTTCGTCCTCGACTATTGGCTCATCATCCTACAACCATTTCACTCAAAAATTCATGCCCCATAAAAGAAAAAGGTGAAGCATCTTGAAGAATTTACTCACTATCCTCCACAAGTAAACATCAACTCACATGTAAGGAACAAATCATATTAAGGAAGGGCATAGCCTACGCACTTCCATTATATTGTGCATAAACTTGACAAAGTATGCAAACAAGTTAAAGATAGAACATTATGAACCTCCAAAGACTTGCCACATTCTTTCTCCACTAACCTCTAGTAGATAGGAAAATCAACTTAGATTAGTGAGTTGTTATGATATGTTTTGCAGTTCAGGATTGATTCCATAGTAGCAGGGCCCAAATTAAGTCAACATATTTGGTACTAAGTTACCAACCCAGCCAAAAGGTGACAATGCAAAATAAACACATCTAATTAAATGTAACCAAAAAACATCCTATATGCTTGAGGGCATGAGGCATGAACTAAAGTAAAATACTCCCATTAAGGGAATTAAGGCAAAGACGTAACAATGTCAAATGAGTGATCAAAGTTCAAAAAAGAGTAATGATGAAAGATTGTTTGATATGGTATCTGGTATCAGGATCATCCACACAAATTGATGAGATAGATATAGAAATACCGATTTGCAAGTGATCCAATAGGATAAAAACAGAATGATTACCAGGTTGGTACAAACTTAATGACAGGTGCAGAAATTAAAACAACGAAGAACCTTAAGAAAGAAATTCGGGTCAACTGCACCGATCAAACTGGTTCAATCTATAGCCAAAAACAAGTGTTGCAGTATTCCACCTGGGTATACCGCTCATTTAAGATGATATGAGAATTATCTGAAATACAAATAAATGAATAAAAAAACAAACCGTTGCCATCGCCAGCCAAACCAATATAGAAAGAATGACAAAGTTGATTTCTCCAATATTGTAAAGAAAGGTTTCCATTTAACCTAATAGCTACTAAATAACCAACAGAAGCAAAGTAAACTGGATATGACTCCATTAAAGATAGACACCATACTAAGTTTAAAAGGCTGACAACAAAATAGCCTTCATAAAAGCTAAACCCTTCTTGGGGTTACAGCTGACTTCACTTGGTAGATATCTATTTCACATTTGTTGGTCACTGGATACAAAAAATCAAACAGCATCCCAGCTAAAAAGCAAACACGCAACAAATAAAATCACACTTCAACCGTTAAATCTTTCCAATTTAACCTAATGCATAAGGCAAATAAGAAAAATATCACATAAAACATGCCTCTACTCAATTGAAACAGTTGGTAAACTGCGCACGAACCCCATTAAAAACAACGAGAAATGAATATACATATATATATATGTGTGTGTGTGTGTGTGTGTGTGTGCGCGTGCGTGCGTGTGTGTTTGTAGAGAGAGAGAGAGATTACATGAACTTTTTGCTGTTCGAGTTGGGCAGCAAGGAGCTCTTCTTGAGTTTGGGCAGTCATGCTGTCACAATTTGATAATAAAATTTTAAAATGTGTAATTCCAGTAGAGAATTATTCTTATTCAGATCAAACAAAAAAAAGGGATGAATTTATAAGATCAATTAAAAATTTTAAATTGAAAACCATTCAAATTAAGTCCTCAAATTTCAGTGGAGAAACAGAAATTAGAATTCTAATCTACCAAACCTTTTCTATTCTAATCTATACATTAAGATAATCGATTCGGCACTTAACTTCATGTTATATAAATACATGAATACTGGAGTTGCAAAGTTTCGAAATGACAGAAATTCCCAATTTGAATGTAGAAACATAAATTAAATATAAACCCTAATTCGAATTAAAGCCAACATTCTGCAATCAATTAAACAATTCATGTAAAACAATAGATTTAATCAGATTCACTAAACAAATCAAGGAAGATAAGAAATGAATTTGCAAAAAGAAACGATACACTGAGAGAGAGAGAGACAGAGAGCGGTAGAGAGGGAGGGAGGGAGGGAAGGAGAAACAGAGAGCGGGAGATAAAGAGAGAGAGAGAGAGAGAGAGAGAGAGAGAGAGAGAGAGAGAGAAAGAGAGAGAGAAGAGTTACCTTGGAGTTGGGGCAGATGAAGTAGAAGCGTAAAGGGGAAGAGGAAGGAGGAGCCAAAGCAGCTGCGCAACACGAACGAAGTTTTCAGGGTTGAGCGTGTTTTTTAGGGTTTAGCGATTCAGATCTCACCCTGCACCGTTTAGTCCTGACCGTTCACGCTGATCGTGCGGCCAGGAATCCATTTTATATTTTTCCTTTTCTTTATTATTTTCATGTCAGTCTATTGTAAGTATAGTATAAAATATCGATAATATCAGAAATATTGGTAGTTCAAAAACATGGAAATTTGGATGGAAATATCGGGATATTATCGATATCGATAAAAATTGAATAAAAACCATGGAAATTGTAAAAAAAAAATTGGAAATTTTTATTGAAACTTTGGAGAATGTTTATTTAGTCAATTATCTATTAATTTATCAAAAAAATTAGAAGGAAATGCATTACATGGATTTAACTGATTTAAGTTGATTATACAGCGAGTTGGCAAACACTGTGAGTGTAGAAAATATGTAGTAATTAATGAAAAAAAAGATTAAACACACCATAATCATTTATATATAATGATTTACTACAATATTTTACACTTTATACATTGCATGGTAAGATACATGAGTGATTTAGTACCACATAAAGTTCCTATGAGGTTCAAAATTTTCACTATCTTCATCATCTCTATGTGTAGAGTAAGTTTATTGTGAAGAGTAGTCATAAAATGATAAATCTCCAAAATAGTTTTGCATGTAATTGTTAACATGTCACTCATATAAATATAAATATTTTAGCATATCATATATACTAAAACTCAAACCCCCTGGTCACTGTGGATGACCAGTGTGTCGACCGTTTTACCCCTCCATTTTTTCTCTGTTTTGGTGTTCTCTTCAGTTTTTCGCACAGTAAAAACCCTATTTTGCCCATTCTGGACAGGTGTTGGTCA